TATACGAGGTCTGTTCAAAAAGTATCGCGAATTTTGAATTTCCGCGGGTTACGTATATTCGATTTTTGATTTTTTTGTGGCGTTATGTTGGTACTCATGTTCCTCACTTATGCCGACAAGTTCAGCCATTTTGAATATTCAGTTTATGTTTGACAGCTGTTTTGCTTGGACTTGTTTTGGCTCGTCTTCGATTTTTGCCTATTCCAAAAAATGGATCAAAGAATCTGTATCAAATTTTGTGTGAAAAACAAAATTAAGTGCGCGGACGCATTCCGAATGTTGACTGTGGCATATGGTGAAGCTACCTTGGACCGAAGCAACGTTTATCGGTGGTACAAAATGTTCTCAGAGGGCCGAGAAGATGTGAACGACGAAGAGCGTGCCGGACGCCCGAGCACGTCAACAACAGACGAAAACATTGATGAAGTGAAGAAAATAGTATTGACCAATCGTCGAATCACCGTTAGAGAAGTTGCTGAGGACCTAAACATAGCGATTGGCTCGTGCCATTCGATTTTTACTAATGATTTGGGCATGAAACGGGTCGCCGCGAAATTCGTACCAAAATTGCTCAATTTCGACCAAAAACAGCATCGCATTAACATTGGGAGCTGTTGGACTCTGTCCGCGACGACCCAAATTTGCTCCAAAGGGTCATAACTGGTGACGAATCATGGGTTTATGGTTATGACGTGGAAACCAAAGCTCAATCATCCCAATGGAAGCTGCCGCACGAGCCAAGACCGAAAAAAGCGCGCCAAGTTCGGTCGAATGTGAAGGTTTTGCTTACAGTTTTCTTCGATTGCAGGGGCGTGGTGCATCATGAGTTTTTGCCACAGGGTAGAACGGTCAATAAGGAATATTACCTGCAAGTTATGCTCAATTTGCGCGAAGCAATCCGCCAGAAACGCCCGGAAGAACAAAAATTGGCTTTTGCACCATGATAACGCCCCTGCTCACACATCGTTGCTTGTGCGCGAATTTTTGGCCAAAAACAACACACTAATGATGCCGCAGCCACCGTATTCCCCAGACCTGGCCCCCTGTGACTTTTTCTTGTTCCCGAAACTGAAGAGGCACATGAAAGGACGACGCTACGCTACGATTGAGGAGATAAAGACGGCATCGAAGGAGGAGCTGAACAAGATCACAAAAAATGATTTTTTGAAGTGCTT